AGGCCTTTTAAAATTTCCTTTTGCCCTGTGTGTAGCCCAGAGAGAGCATTAACAAGGAATGTAACTCTATACATGTTCATGCTCTTCATTTTGCTGTTACTTAAAATGGTGTGGTACAGTTTCAAAGGGGCAGCCAACTGGGATATAGTAAAAAGAATGACAGGATTGCCCATTGGAAACAATGGGAGAGGCCTGAAGGCCCGTTGGAGATAATGGGAGCCAGAAATGCCAATTGACTTGCATGGGCTCTACTGAAATAGATTGCAGCACAAAAAAAGTCGCAAAGAAAATGCAGAATGTTTTTTTCCATTAAGGTCTTTGTACCCAGATAGGCTACTCTGGGACTGAAATGACAGCCCCCAGAGTGGAAAGACACTCCCTGGTACTAGAATGACAGGTCACAGAGTGGAATAACAGCCCCCGAGAATAGGCTCAGTGCTCTGGAACTGGAATGACATGTTGCAAAGTGGAATGACAGCCCCTGGAAATAGGCTCAGTGCTCTTGGACTGGAACAACAGCCCCCAGAGTGGAATGACCGCTCCTGGGAGTAGCAGAGATGTTCTGGGACTGTAATGAAAGCCCTCAAAGTGGAATGATAGTCTGAGAACACTTCGGCAACTCCCAGTTTGAAGTGAGAAGATTGCTGCTACTCTGAACTCTGTACATTGCTCAGAAATTGAGTGCACAGCAACTGTTTGGTATTCTGCCCTGACTCAAGAGACTGCAGCCATGCATTTACCAAACGAAGGAATCTGTGATGCCATAATTTAGTAAATTTCAGTGCAAAGTCACCCTTATGAATAAAACAGAAACAAGACTGAACGTTCAGGAAAACTTTAAAAATGTCACTCTACAGGCTTTTCTGTGTTGCTTTCCTTACTGTCAAATTTGTGACCATTTGTTTGTCCTATACACATGGTATGTATATGTGCAGATCTTAAAGTGACTATTTTAAAAGTGAATTTTAAAAAGGTCACAGCAGGAGACTGAGATACTACTGTAACCACTGGCCAACTCCCACCTTTTCCTGGATTTAGCCCAGGGGCATGGCTAGGGGGGGTTCCCATGGGTTCTCAGCCCCCCCCCCATTTCTGGGGAGCCCCTCCCTAAATCCCATATGGCTCCCCCTCCATAGA